AATATTTTTTGTGTAAGATGTGATGTTTACCCAAAAAAAACCAAGACCCTGTGGGTTTAGCACTTAGTTTTGATTATAATAAATACCCCCCAAAAATTATATTCAATAAAACTCATGCTTTAGGATTGTGATTTAACATACAAGCTGTTATCCAGACAAAGTTCAGAAACAATGGACAAGGTCCAATAAATCCAGAATTGTTAGTTATAGTTATGGTCTACTGGCTAAATTAATTTTGAATTTAACATGAAATCTGTTACTTCCAGAATTTCATATTTTTTGTTATGGTCTGCCTGGGAAAATGATTTCAGATTTAACAAAGAAAGTCTGCTATTGTTATAGTTCACTGGGTAAATTGTCCATTATTGTTATGATCATGGAAAAACAATTTTGTCATTTTGATTTAACATACAGTTGGTATTGCTGGACACACTATCTCCTCTATTAGTCTGTTAAGTTTAGGTTTCACTGTAGCCCAAAAACCACCACGTCTTGCAGGTCTCCATTAATTGTGAAACACAAACTTTTTCCTCTTCCTTGGATCAATTTTGATAGCAAATCATTTCTCCAGGTTCTGTATGACCACTGTGGGTTTAGCACTTCCCCATGAATAATAATAATAATAATATACATGATTATAAAGAAATGGCTAAAATAATAACAGTTTGAAAGTGAAGAGGCACTTTAGTAATAAAAATGTAATTGTAGGTGATGTTAATGGAGGCTTAGTTGTGGCGGTGTCCTCACTTAACATGGTGAGGCTAATAAAAAAAATTGTCAGTTCGTGGGAAAATGGATGTCGGTGTAAGTTAAGATTCGTGTTGATGTGTATTTTCTCCATGGGGAAGTGGAACAGAATTCTTCCTCCATAAGCCATGTGTGCCATAAGAGGCAACTAAAATGCCGGGAGCAAGGGGCTAGTAACCCCTTCTGTATATATTACTAAATGTAAAAGGAGAAACTTTCGTTTTTCCTTTTGGGCCACCCCACCTCGGTGAGATACGGCCGGTGTGTTGAAAGAAAGTGTATTTACAAAAGGGAAAAAGAAGTGCCTTTATGCTAATGAACAGCGTTGTATGACCCTTGTGGGTTTAATGCTTAGTTATGATTATAATAATTATAATGCTGGTGAAAGGCTCATGATCCGAGGAAGTGGAGATACCCTCCTCTTCCTTAGACCAAATCTGACCACTGTACCTCCATCTCTCCAGGTACTGTACTATATAATATCAAATACTATGTATTTGATATTATAATATCAAATACGATGTATTTGATATTATAATATTGCTCGGTGTATACACCCCCCTCAAGGGGTTTTATAAACCCCTCAAGGGAGGTTCCTTGATGCTTGTGAGGGGCTCTTGATCTAAGGAATTGGATCTGCTCTACTTCCCTGAATTAAGCCTGAATATCTTCACCCCCCCACATGACCTGTATAATCCTTTGGGATTGCACTCCCCCATGAAAATAATAATAATTGGTGTATACACCAGTGTATACTAACACTTTACCTGTGTGTACAGTGTTAGATACCTACACCTCACCAACACATACAATAATACTAATTAATGTATAGAAAAATAGTGTTGGTGTTGTGTAAGTTGAGAAGTGGAGCTAAAAAGTATAGTTTGCCCCTCATACTGGATTAATTAATTTGGCTCCTTGTCCCACGACTTGTTTTCCTCAAGATGCTCTTGACATATACGAATTGAGATTTTAATGAATCTTATGGTTTTTAAAAGTCACAAGAAGGTGGGTACACATAAACAAAAGGAACTTTATCTGTTTAAAATATATTTTAATGACTCTCACAAGAGAGGAATATATTTTAAACCATTTTGTCGGTTTAGCGCTTTATTTGATTATAGTAATTTTATACCATATGAACATATTATTATCTGAAAATAATAAACCTTGCCTACAGGTCTTGAGTATTGTCTTGCCCAGTGGTTATAAAGCCTTGAAGACAAACAGGTTACAGGACAAGCTTTTATTGGGGCAACAGTCCCCTCAAGGAAGGTTCCTTGATGTTGGTGAGGGGCTCTTGATTTAGGGAATTGGATCTGTGCTCCAGTTCCCCGAATTAAGCCTGAATGCCTTCCACATCCCCCCCCAGGCGCTGTATAATCCTCCGGGTTTAGCGCTTCCCCCTTGATTATAATAATAATAATAATTGGGGCAACATTTCATGCTGTGTAGAGCTTTATCAATTCATGTTTCACTTTAGAGCTTAATCCAGCCATGTTTTGCTGTATGATCCTTGTGGGTTTAACACTTAGTGATGATTACGATAATAAGCCATGTTTTATTCTAGAAATTTATCAAGTTGTGATTTGCTTTGTGTAGAGCATTATCAAGTAATGTTTTGCAAGTAAAAGATGGGTGTCCTTGACCAGGTTCCTCTCAACACTAAATTAAAGTTTTATTGAATGGTTTGCCCCTGACATCATTCACATATGAAAAACTTTTCTTTTGCTCCGACTAATTTGTGATAGGCTCATGACTATACATGTCAATGTTGATCACTAGCCCATATGTAGACAAGAAACTAATTCATGTTGATGACTTGATAAAACTCTTGAGTACATTTTGCTCTGTATATTTCAAGAAAATTGTGAGAAATTAATAGCAACCTGTCATGTGTAGGATGTAATATGAGCCCGGCCTGTAATGTGGTGAGAGGATGTGAAGGAGCAAAAGCCTCTCCTGATTATAGCCAAATTAAACTTAATAATTATTATTAATAATTTATTTATCCCGTTCTATTAAAATTGCACCAGGTGCTGTATGAACCCTATGGGTTTATATTATTATGATCAAAACTCCCCTCAAGGGATGTTTCTTGATGCTGGTGAAGGGCTCTTGATCTAGGGAATTAGATCTGTGCTCCAGTTCCCTGAACTGAGCCTGAATATTTTCCATCCCCCCCCCCCGACATCACCCATTATGTACCTCTGTGCTGTATAGCCCTTGTGGCTTAGCTCTTCTTTTTAATTATAATAGTATGTACCTCTGTAATCTTTTGACTGCCGCCCACAAGATGGGTATGGGGTGCATAATAAACATATTAAACTAATAACCCCCGACATGCGCTGTATAATCCTACCGGTTTAGCGCTCCCAATGATTATATAATCAAAACTAAGTGCTAAACCCACTAGGGGTTTTATAGACCCCTCAAGGGAGGTTCCTTGATGCTGGTGAGGGGCTCTTGATCTAAGGAACTGGATGTGTGCCCTATTTCTCTGATTTCCATCCCCCACCCTCCGCAAGCGCTATATAATCTAATCCTTATGGGTTTATAGACTATTTTAAGCAAAATTTTATGATTTTTTTTTGCTTGTGTATACGTTTACTGCACATAAATAAAATATGTGAATGTACTAAAAGCTATCGTTTTATTAGTAATAAATTTAATACTCAACAACGGTACTATTTGTGATGCATTGCATTCATAGGGGAAGCGCTTAACCTGAAGGGGTCATACTCCGCCTGGGGATAAGAGAGGGAGCCAATTAAGTTCAATCCAAAGGGGATGTGAAATTCGTTCCTTGGATCAAGAGCTCCTCGCCAGCAACAAGGCATAGTTAGGTTAGGTAAGACTGGTCAGGAAACAGGAAAGTAAGTATTTCCTGACGTGGGTCTTATTTTATTCATCATAATTTTAATTAATTAATTGCCTGCCCTGCCACTGCAACTTTTTCGTCATCCATCAGACTTGGTACTGTCGCCGAGTTACAACAGCAACTCATAAGACGTGTAGCTGTGCCGAACACAGCTGACGTCATCAAGGGGGCGGAGCTTTGAAAGAAGTCAATTACTAAATACTGAGTTCCCATTGGCTAGATCTAATGTTTACATCATACATCAAATCACCATCCTTGTTACAAACCTGGTAGGAAAAAATTCTGCCCTACATTACGCTTCCTCTGATTGGTTATAACGAATGTTAATACACCGAGTTTCTACCAATGAAATGTGAGCGCGGGAAAGGAATCTTCAGCACAGCAACTCGTCTTATATGTTGCTGTTGACAGGCTCTTCATCTCTCTAGAAAATTTAATTAAATGCAGTTGCAGAAAAAAATCTCCCTGGCAGATCAGGCAACTCAGACAGACAGACGTAGTAATAAACAGAAAGAAGACTTTTTTCATCAACGAATTAATTAGTACAACTTGTATTGATGCCGGTACTTTCTGCGTATCTATATAAAAGAAGATTTGTAAATGCAAATGTAAATTAATTACCGTTTCGATATTACATCCAACATTATAAAAACCATAACAAATATTTATTTTAAAGGAAGGGTAACGATTAATAACAGGTCCTTACAACAGTCCTACCTACTAATGTGAAGCATAATTTTGATAGATAAGTTGGGTGAAGCGATATATATATATATATATATATATATATATATATATATATATATATATATATATATATATATATATATATATATATATACTTGGAACCCTCATCCTCAGAGAAGACGATAAACGTACCTCAGGGTAAACTCAAGGTTCTCCCCGGAGCTGTTTGAATATTTTCTTTTCCTACCACCCCCTGTATTTTATATTCTATGTGAACTTTATTAATAGACAGAATACACTGACCGATAACACAAACATGAATATATTGGTACAATATATCAAAGATTATGAATCTCCTTCAGCTCCTCCGAAGCTGGACGTGAGCCCAATATGCAGCAAGCATTTCCCCTCTGGATGGCCACGCTGAGCGGCTGGAACATGAAAGTCGTGCCAAGTAAAACAGGTCAATTAGCAAGAACTCATTTAAAATTAAGTCCTTATATAGGTTTACAGTAACTTAATAATAAACAAACACATTGAATTTTTTTTTAGTTAGCTTTAGAATGATTTTTGCGAAATTATCGCATACACAAATTTTCGTTTGACTTATTCGGCAAGAAGAGCGTTGCCATTTAAGCCAACACCGCGTCATTGGTCTAATCCGGGGGGGGGGGGGCACGGATCTGCTCCGCATGGGTCAGTAGGCCTGTTGCAGTGTTCCTTCTTTCTTACGTTAACTCTCGTCCTGGAGGTAAAACATGAACTATTTTGATTATATTCACTCATTTAAAACATTACACTACATACAAAAGTGCGTATTTCAGGAACTGAGGAGAAATAACAAAAGTTTTTCATAATTATTTCTTTATATTTCTCGTCTATTACATATTTAGGATTGATTTTTTTAACATTAAATGATATGCATCTACTATGATACCAGAAATACAAGTTAACAATACTATCAAACTTGATATCAAAACTCTGACTCAAAACTCAAAGTGTATATTGCCAACACAGAAAACATGAATTGGCACACCAGACAGCCCTGAAATTGGGTGTAGGAGCTGACAAGGACCAGCAGCATTTACATAGGATATGACTTGACCATCGGCAAAAGTAGATTCTTAGAGTAGAAAGTAATCAAAAGATGTTTCAGTAAGAAAAAAAAAACATTAGTTGTACAGTCCAAAGATTCCAAGACGATGTCCACTCAAGGGAGGTTCCTTGACGCTGGCGAGGGGCTCTTGATCCAAGGAATTGGACCTGACCTACCATTCCTTGGATAGGGCCTGATTGCTTCCCATTCCCCAGTAGCTGTATGATCCCTACGGGTTTTGCGTTCCACCCCTTCCCCCAAACTTTGTTTCTGTTTTCTACCACTTGTGATTGTAGGAAGACAGCCACAGAACAGTTTTTAATGTTTACGTATGTTTCTGTAACAATAACAACACAGACTGAGGTGTTTTGCCACTATCAAGAACAATGCCATGTATGAACATCTCGAGAGTCAATAAGTCTGCAATGCCTATCGCCAAGAGTTATACATACGAAAAAATTATCAGGCCTTTGAAAGGAAAAACACGATATAATCTTTAGATTTTGAAACGACAGAGGTCTTTTAGAATTATTGTAGGAGACTTGAGATAGAAGAGGCATGTCAATTGAATTATATGAATCTTGTTGAAGACCTCACCAGCGATGACTGCTCCAGCTGAGCAAGCGTTATGTACCACTGATCATTAAGAAAAGTGTAAAACCCGTACTGTGGTAGTCACTGAAGAGTTTTAGTTACCTATGATTATGACAAGTTTAACCTACCCCTACTGATTGTAAAACTAAATTACAAAAGTTCAATTACAGTATTTACTATATAACAACTTAGGAGGGAATACATTTTCAGTCAGCTACCACAAGTAATCCCACTAATCACTCAAAGAAGTCGCTTTCGTCCTCGGCCGATGAAAAATCCTGTCCCGTTCATCCAATCTGACATTTGGTAGTATGTACTATCTCAAAATTTAAAATAAAATTTTTATGCGACCCAGCACTCAATTATAAAAAGTTTTGTTGGTTCAATATTAAGACCTATTTTCTTATGTTACTTCTCTAAATTACACTGTTGATGATATGCAGTACCATTATAATACCAATTAAAAAAAAACATAAATGAAGGATAGAAAATGGAGCAAAATTAAAGATGACAGAGGCAAACAATGAATGAAATAATGTAAATAATTTTACGCAGAAACAAATAAACGTAAGAGGGTATGGATGTGGCTGTTGAAATGAGCGCGGCTGGCACCTATCCAGTTTTTTCAGCCTAGCTTCAGGGCTGTACTGGTGTTCAGTGTGACTTCATAGCACAGTGACTCAGAAAGCAAATGTGTATTGTGCACGTCTGAAGCGAAACTATTTGTGGGTTTCAGAGATAGTTATGATTACAGTATAGTGCTAAGAGGAGGAGGCTGCCTATCCAGTACTGTTTCTAAGAAGAAATTACTTAAAAAATACACTCAAAAGCAGTATGGTGCCCATTCTAACATGGAACCCGAAACATCTTTTTCTTTTTTTTAGAGTGAGGATATTTCTATGTTGACATGCATCTTGAGCGGTGTGATTTGAGACCAGCGTTGAGTAATACTATATGAGCGCCACGGGGGAAACGGACGGTCAGGGGGGGGGGGTTAGTGGGAAGCAGAATGACGAATGTGGCATTAAGAAGTAACCCTCAGGTGCTTGGTAACCAACTATATGTCTGTGTCTGTCTCTGTGTCTGTCTGTGCATTTGAGCAAGCATGAAGCATCAAGGAAACAGTTATTTTGAGGCATGTGGTGAACATATTAAAAGTGTTTCATTAAGCACTTAAAACATCATAAAAGTGATACTTTTGAGACTAAAAGAATGTTTAATTATTGTGAATTTTACTTACCGACACAGGACATCTAGTGAAAAGTATGCGACCTGCCAACACTTCAAGTAGACTGAATGTTAATTCAAGTTTAATGGAAACATACTCTTGCTCAATATTATCAAACAAATGTTTTTCACATTTCGTCACAATTTTTAAGATAATCCTCGGCCAGTAATTACAAATCCACAGCCTCCAAAATAAAGCGTTTCCTGGAGTATTTTTGTCTTAAGTGTTTGCTGCACCAGCTGGGGTGATGCGGGAGAGTTGAAGCTCGTACTCAATACTGTAACATGACGTGAGTGGTAGACAGCCACATGTCGTGACTGCTGCTCGACATGCAGCTATCAATCCACCTATCCAGACTTAAGTCTGAGCAAGTTGCCTAGAATGTTTACATATCTCCTGCTGAGACTTGTCACCTTTTTTGACTCAATCAGGAAGTACACAGATAAAGTTCTAGGTCATAATACTTCATTCACTGCAGTATCCTACCTGCAGTCTAGTTTTACATTTTCTATACTATGTCTAACTTTCCTTTATATACATAACTCTGCCGTTTCCCAAGGAATGCCCATAGAAGCACACAGGTCTAAATTGTAAAAACAACTTAGAAGCAACTCATAAAATGCACCATTTTGTAGTAGAGGGCAAGCAGCTCCACTTTTGACTCTCATTGTGCCTCTTGATCACGGCCAACACGAGATAAACATTATTCTAGTGAAGAAAAGTGCAAACATAACCAAATATTGCTGTAAAAGAGTAAATCCTTGGCAAGTGAGCTTTAACTAAGGTCACACATAGATGCTACAAGTCACATGAATGCCCAGTCTTGACAAGTGTGGTAACAATAGGAATGTCTTCTACAATACAGGTGAGCATCACAAATATAAATCACAGATAAAAAAGGTACTGTAGGCCGCGTCCAGCATCTACCCACTATCTCGGAGTTTAGTGAACACTATGTCTTATTTTTATCACCAACGACGATGCACAAAATTACGAGAATTTTTTATTGTTTTGTTTTGTTTTAATGAGAATAACCAATAACGTAGTGCATGAAGATGCACTCCAGTGTCATAGCTGTAGCGGAAGACTTGTTTCATATAAATACCGCTGAAATAAATAGCGACGACTGATGCTAACACGACCAACAATTGACGTCCCTGACACAGCACACTGACGCCTCCCTCACCACCAACTTGACCACAAACCCAACTCCATACCTCTCATACCCTAATAAATGCCTGATAGCAAACCTAACTGCAACATTAACCTTTAAAATATTATCCAATTATTTTTTTTACTGTTTGGTATACTGTAGATATAAATTAATATAAGTTATATAACATATCTAAAGGAGTTAGTTTTGTAGCACCCTGGTTTTTAATTACATGATTATTATGACTATTTTGTGTCGAATTTACACTGTTGTTTTTTTACTAAAGTACCGCTTCTTAACGTGAATGCTGAAATGGTGATAGTTAATGCAGTGTGGGTGTTGGAAAGTGCAGTGACAACGATGTGCTGTGCATTGAGACAATCTGTTAAGAATGTACAGTGTGGAGATCACCACAGTGTGAAGGAGTCGCTCCACATGCTGCACATTCCTTTACAACTCCAGGAACTTCATGAGTGTCTCGTAGATGAGGTGGGGATCTGCTGTGCTGTCGGCAGTATAGCGGACGCCATTCACATCACCCGTGCTGTGGTCCACAACGCCGTACTCTCCAATGATGAACCCGTCTGGGGTTTTCTCCTCCAAACGGAAGCGGCTGATGTTATGTTCCTCCACGACATACCCTACAGTGCTGTTTGCATCAGCGCCTCCTTCCGCCACAGTCGCATCCACGAAAGTGAGACGTGTTCCGCTGCTTTGTGGGGCTTTGGTAGAGGTGGTAGTGGTATTAAGATTAGAGAGTGATGGCCGTTTTATACCATAACCTTTTGGAGCCAGCCCATGAGGATGGAGCCCTCCTGGCACTAGACCATGGGGTGCTAGACCCGACGGGGAATTTCCAAAAGGAGCAAGTCCTCCAGGAGCTTGGCCAAATGGTGCTTGGCCAAATGGTGCCAACCCATGCTGGGCTTTAGGGGAACTTACAAGTGACAGGCGAACTCGGGGTAGCGAGCTATTACCAGAGGAAGTGGTTTCAACATTAGCGGTGGTGTTGGTAGTGGTGGAGGACTGTGGTATGGTTGTGGTAGATATTGGTTGTGGTATAGTCTCCCGGGAATTGACGCTTGAGACGTGCCCTGCGGTGCGTGCCTCTGTTCTCGACACGGAGGTACTCACCCTCTGACTCTGAAACTGCTGATGTGGGTTTGAATTTTTTATTTCTAAGATCCTCCCATCCCTTTCCCGGCTCTCAGGTTGACTTTGTGCTTGAGTTTCTATTACTTCTCCAGTCAGAATGTGTGCGTCCGAACCCACGGATCCGGACACCTCCACTACCGATGTTTCAAACTGCACTGATCTATCCTTACCTCTGTTAACTTGTATTTCCTCAAGTGCTTTGTTTGATGACAGACCCTTTACTTGATCCAACTGTGGTGGGACCTCCGTGGAGTTTGTAGTTGCTGTAGTGGTGGTAGTAGTTGTAAGCGGAGTGGTTGTCATTTCATTAGGGGTAGTAGTAGTGCTAGTCGTTTCACTGTGGATACTGGTGTGAGTCATTTCGCTAAGAGTAGTTGTTTCACTAGCAGTAATAATAGTGGTAGTCGTTGTGCTTGGGGTGGTGGTTTCATCTTTGGGTAGGACGACAAGATGGCGACGTGGGGGCACCGAGTTTGGGCTATGGTCACTTGTGGTGGGTTCAGCAGCCACGTCCACTACTAAAGGATCACTCAGAAGGAAGCTGGTAGGGTGACGGTCTGAGTTAACAGCGTGCACTGTCCTTGAGGGTAGTGATGACACCTTCGTGGTCCCCCGAGTGACAGTCTGTATGAGAGGAACAGCATCACCAGTCGCTAGTACTCGTGGTTCTCGGCGGGGGGCTTCTACGCGCACTTCCACGACTACTGACGATGATGAGCTGCCTTCCAAGCTCTTCAGAGTATTGCCTTGAGTGATAACCTCATGTGTATTGCTCTCGTTTTCTCTTGATTCATTCTTTGGCACTGCTGTGGTGTAACGAAAATTCCCCAGTACGTTACTACTTGCGCCTTTTAGCTTCTGAGCAGCATCATGTACCTCTTGCTCAGAGACCTGGGTTGTGACGACCAGAAGGGATTTCGTGGAGACTGGAATTTCCTTGGTTTTTACAGTTAGTGGTGAAGGTGTCACGAGCAGAGATGATCTTGCTGAAGCTCTCACAGTCACTGAAGTCCTTGATTTTGGAACCTCGACCAAAGTATCAGAGGTCCCTAAGAGCTTCTGACTTAGTGAAGTTGAAGCAGAGGAACTTTCTCTTGGTGATGAAGGAACTTTGCTAATACGCTCTGATGTCGGGTTTTGAGACATGGTAGAATTTTCTTCCGTTATCTTAATTTTCTGTGCAGATTCAGTTGTAGTTTGATATCTGAAAACCGATCGCTTTGTTGTAGGTCGTTTAGTTGTCGTAAACATGATGGTCTTTTGCGGCGTGATTGTAGTTGAAGCGGTCTCATTTATGGCAAGAGCAACTGAGGTTGCTAACCTAGTCCCAGCTCTTTTTCTCTCCAGTTTGTGAGAAGTCCCAGGCAGTGTGATGTCTATGAGAGGCGCACTCTGGGTGACTCTCGAATCTGCTTCAACCTCTGGCATGGCTTTGGTGGATTGCTGATTGTTGGAAGCTTGTGGTAACACATCCCCAGCTGTTACTGATTCTTTCCCAGACTCTAACGCCGAGCTTGTTAGCGGGTAGAGGTCATCTAGGTAGTAAGTGTAATCATAATCATCAGTGGGTAAATTGTCAGGATGATTTGTAACTGCTAAGGTGCCTCTGGCGTTGTCTCTGCCATCGAGGATGGAGCTGATGGTGGACTTCACGTTGTTGGAGTTCGATGTAGTGAACTTCTTGATGGGGATAAGACGATTGCTGTCCACGGTTTTCTGAGGTAACCTTCTGGGGTGCTGTTTGACCCCAGGGGAAGAGTCAAGCTGTTGAAATACGCTGTCTGTTGAGGAAGAGGAAGATGAAGAGGAAGAAATTTGAGAAGAGGACACAATAGGGCTGGAATTATGCGAATGTCCTGAGCTGAAAGTTAGGCTATCTTGAGTTGGTTTGCCACCTCGAGTCTCTAGCAAGGTTCTCGTCTCATGCTCAGACGTTGGGTGAGCAACAACTCCTCCTTCATGCAATGTGGTTGATGCAGCTCCTGGCGTCTCATAAGGGTTGCTCCGGGCCGGAGGTCGTGCTCGAGGATCCAAGATTCGCAGAAATTCGCTACCGAAGATGACCCCGCCATGACCTCTCAGTGGTACCGCTCTGCTCTGACTGCCCAGCATCAGGGTAAC